GTGCTAAAATGATCTGTTCTCATCCACAGTTGTTTTGACTTCTGTTTTGCCGTATCTTGTATGCACCACCCTTTTTTTTTCTTTTTTTTTTTTTTCTTTTTTTGGTCTTTGTTTAGGTTTCGTTGTCACTCCGTTCCTGAATCTGTGCATTGGTCATGTCTATCTCGCAGGTATCTGACTGCTGTACAGCCGGAAATGGTCGAATATGTCGGCGTTCCAAAGAATGAGGTTGCCAAATGGGTCGGCATATCCTCCGCCGTCACGTCGATCAGCCAGGGTATCATGGCCGTAACTTGGGGTACTGCCTCGGACCACTTCGGTCGCAAGCCGATCATCCTGTCGGGGCTGACCTGCACCATGATTATTTCTTTGCTCTTCGGTTTCTCACAGACCCTGACATGGGTAGTGATTACCCGCGCCCTGCTCGGGCTCATGAACGGTAATGTTGGCATTATCCGTACGATGGTGGCCGAAATGGTCCCAGAGAAGGAGCTGCAGCCGCGCGCCTTTAGTATTATGCCTTTGGTGTGGACTATTGGCACCATCTTTGGCCCTGCCTTTGGAGGTGCCCTCGCACATCCGGCGGAGAAGCACCCGGAAATCTTTGGCAACTCGGAGTTTCTAAAGAGGAATCCTTTCATTTTGCCTAACATAGCATCTGCAATCCTCTTTATCATTGGTATCACGACGGGGTTCTTGTTCTTACATGTAAGATGGCCGCATGGATGATCAAGGGACAATATCTAATAAGATACAGGAAACACTGGCAACAAAGAAGGACAGCCACGACTACGGCTTAGTATTAGGCAAAATGCTGACCAGTTGCAGTACTTCACGAGAGAAGAAAGCGCGGTACACTGTGCAGGACGACGAGAACACTCCTTTGCTGGGTGAGAACCCGCCTCAGCAGAAGAGAGCTCCGGTCAAGCGACCGAGTTGGAAGGAGGTGTTCTCGCCGCAGTCCAGACTGGTACTCATGGCGTATGCCTTGATGTCACTACACACAATGGCATTCGACTCACTTCTCCCAGTGTTCCTGCATACTCCTGTCCAACAACTCCATGGTAACCCGGATGTGCACCTACCATTCAAATTCATAGGAGGATTTGGCGTCGGTAAGCTCCTGTGAGGCTATGGTGTTCCCATATCTACCATCTAATCTCTTTGCTCAGACTCTCAAACGATCGGCATCTATTATACCCTGATTGGAATCATCGGGATGTTTGTACAATTTCTGGTCTTTCCAAGTGCTGCCAAGCGATTTGGTGTCCTTAATTGCTTGAAGGCCATGGTTCTCGTATTTCCCATTATCTACCTGGTAACCCCGTTCACAGCTTTGGTACCGGAGTCTCTGCGCCACGTAACAGTCTTCCTACTCATGCTCTCAAAGCTTGCGGCGTCCATCTTCGGCTTCCCTTGCATCACGATTTTGTTGACCAACTCAGCCACTAGCCTAACCGTGCTGGGAACCCTGAACGGTGTTGCCACGAGTGTCAGCGCCGTGGGACGAGCCGCCGGGCCCGCCATCTGCGGGGCGGCGTTCTCGTTCGGCGTGAAGAAAGGCTACGTCATCTTCCCTTGGTGGATGCTCGCCATTTTCGGCACTCTGAGCGCTCTCCCTATCTACTGGACCGTTGAACCGGATGGATTCCAAGGCAACGACGCTGAAGAGGAGCAGGACGAACCACAAGAAAGCGACTACGGGGCAGCTGATCACGGCCAGTCCCCCAAGGCCAGGGCAGGTAACTAATCAGTTTTATAACCAAAAGCTTTTATAAAAGTCCAGGCTACTTGTCTCGGGTGCTTGACAACAGTATCTTAAGCTCAATAACCGCCCATTGCAGAAACGGGAATTCACGACCGATTAATAGAAGTGATGATCATGAAGGACATGCAACTGATGGCTATATAAATGAACGGTAGTCAAATGGATCTTTTCAGTTGGTATAATAGAATAAAACAACGTTAGTTGTATATCTACTTGTATACTCCGTGATACTACCGTACTGTGGAGAACAATTCATCAACCAATCATAGCAAACATAATTTACTTCAAACAAACAGCTGCTGTCATCCGGAGCTTTCCCCAGCGAAGCTTAACTCCGATACTACCAAGACCACTCATACCATCACCTCATCCCATCTCCCTTTCCTCATACAAACAACAACAACCCCTACAAAAAGAACAAAAGCAATCCAAAACCCCGAAAACCCTCAAAATGGTTCCTTTCCCCCCAACCCCAAAACCTCACTACATCTCAACCAAAACTAACAGAAGGCACCAATGAAACAGTCCCTGGAAATCAACTCCGCCCTCTCCCTCTCCATCCTCACCTCCCTCGGCGGAGTAATCGGCTACGCACGCACCGGCTCCGTCCCCTCCATCGCAGCCGGCCTCTCCGTCGGTGCCCTCTACCTTTATAGTTTCCAGCGTCTTCGCACGGGCCAGACCTACGGTGATGAGCTGGGTCTCTTGGCCTCGATTGTCTTGAGTGGGAGCTCGATTCCGAGGGCTATTAAGACCCGGAAACCCGTGCCTATTGGGTTGAGCTTTGTGGCGATTTATGGGCTTTTGGTTTTTGGGAAGGCTGTTTTGGGGAAGAATTGATTCTCCCGTTTTTTAGGTAATTAAGTGATGGTGTGAGTGGTTGATTGTTTGTGATTTAAGAGGTTGTGTATGATTATACCATTTGAGTCCTCCGTTTTTCTTTTCTCACACTCACACACTCACTCACTCACTCTCTCTCTCTCTCTCTAAATGTCATCTGGTCGATGTTTGTGTTCGTGTCATTACATGGGTTTTCTTGGCTCTTAAACGATGATACACTGAACTATCCGAGAAATTTATTTGCAAAATGGATGATTGCCTACCTTCACCAGAACTTACAGTTAAGTAGACCGGTTCGGACCGACGACAGTAAAAGAAACGCATTTCGCGAAGATCAGCTCCTTTAGTAAAGTTCGACGACCGACTCACCAACTCTTATCGTCGCTCATTTCGCGTTACCATGGCGTGTAGGGGCGCACGGTCAGAAACAAAAGCCACGGTGGACATGCATGCGATGCCTGCTGCAAGGCCCGTTTATGCAAAGGCCGCCAACTACTGATAGAAGATCAGGGTAGGACGCAGTAACGCATGACCAGAAGATAGATCATCAAAACGTGTATCTAGAATTTTGACATGCAATCGAACTTAGCTGGATTTCTTTGTGGTCCATCCCTGTCCGTTGACCTCGCGAGTCTTTTGCGCTCCATTGTGCCGAACATCGAAGACAGTCGGTTATTTCCTGTCGCCAACCATTCTAGTTTTTCGGTAGGGAAACTAATCCGTCGCATCGAATACGGTATCCGGACCCCGTTCGGCCCCCGTTACGGCCGCAGGAACTTGTTCTTGGAGCGCCGTTTCCCCTGAACGATCAGGAACGAATGCATACCTGGGCAACTTCGCCATCTTTTCCTCCGGACTGGTCTCATTGTCAGAATACACCAATCTTGACTGCTTGGACTTGTCCTTCTTGGTGGGCTTCTCTTCTGTGGGAGGGGCAGCGCTTGCGGCTGCTTGGTCTGCTTCTTTGGCAGCACCGGAGATGAGGTCGTCGATAGACGATGAGATCGGTGTGGCTTCGGCTCCTGCGGCCTTCTCGCCGTTGGCAGCTCCAGCAGGTGCACCGGTGGCCGGAACCGGATGGCCCATGTGCATTTGCTGAAGCTGATAAGCATTGACCTGTGGAGCACCCACTGCAGGCCGTTGAGGAAGACCGGGGGCGGCTGGCAAACTCCCAGATCTTTGCGCAAATGCGGCAGCCTGTGGGGGTGTGTTGGTTTGAGGTGTTGGTTGCTGTGGCTGTTGTGGAGGGAAAGGCGGTGGTGTTCCGTAAGCTGCGCCGGTCTGACCGGGCGTGCCCTGGAATGATGGCGGGGAGTATCCCGCTGGAGTATACTGCGCACTAGGAGGAAATTGCGATTGTCCGCCAGGTGAGATATTCTGGTAGACCGGACTTGCCGTTTGTTGATAGGGAGAGCCCGCACCACCGTACGGCTGAGGATATGTGTACTGTGAGTTTGGAGCGGCTGTCGAGGGTGATTGGCTCTGCATCGCCATCGTTAGCGTCAGGGAACTTCGAACAGCCCGAATCTACTACATCAAACTTACAAAGGCACCCGCATTCTGTGTTTGTCCTGCACCAACAGGTGTCACGTCACCGCTGCTTCCACCAGTCATAGCCTCGGCCTTTTTGGCTTTATGTTCTGCCAGTCGCTTTTTCAGATCCGATACGTTTTCGAGCTTTGGCCTCTTCGCTGGCTGTCCGCCAACGCCCGCGCCCGGAGGGGGGTTACCAGTCTGGGCCTGGCGCTCCGCCTCGGCTTGGTGGAACTGTGTTACGACCCGCTGGTTGTGAGACTGGATGATATCTTCGGGAACACCTTCCATGCCGAAAATCTCCACGTCCAGACTTTGCCGGTTGGGAAGCGCATTGTCAACAGCCGACAACTGTTCCTTATGTACTTGACTCATATGTACCGACAATCCTGTTCGCGCGGTGTTAGAATCGGACCATCAGAGTAGTACCAAGAAAGTCATCGCGACCCACCTCCGGCAGTGTTCAGCCTTCTCCCACACCTCTCACATTTGAAATGCTTTGCCTTCTGATGCGATATGAGGATTTTGAGATCATCGAAATCACGTTCGCAGTAGTAGCACCACGGACGAGCTAAAAGCTCATCCAAGGTCGGACCACGTCTCTTCTTTCCCATGGTGAGTGTGGATTCTGGCGTCAGTTTACGCTTAAGCTAGAGGGTATCGGAAGTCCGATTGACGATGATTGTGGATGCGCTGGCGGGGATTGTCGACGCGTTTGCGATCCGGCGCCGGTGGTGGAACAACTGTCGTGCCTTGAGGTGAGGCTTGCCTTGTCACGTGCAGATCAGATTTATCTGGGTGTTCCGTCCTGTGACGTATCCAATACTAGCGCAATACTTTCGATGGTATTCACGTGATAACATTGGTACCATCTCGGATACACTGAGATTATACGAGTACGGAGTACTGTGGCTGCAAATTCTGCAGATGACCATTCCAAGGATCATTGTTCATTGGGTCTGGTGGCATGATTAAACCCGGTAGTTTTCAATCAATAATGATTGAATGTGCATTCACATAATCAAGATGAACAACTACCTGTATCAAGAATCACCTTGACGCCTACTAGTACACCTGGATCAAGTTGAGACCAGAGCTTTGTGGCTTATAGTTTGAGCTACATCCAACACCTTCAACAAGATCGTCTCGGTGGCGCAACTGGTTAGCGCGTCTGACTGTTAATCAGGAGGTTGTGAGTTCGATCCTCACCTGGGACGACGCGATTTGTTTTTGGATTTCTGGTTGTATTACCAGTTTACTCAATTGCCTTTCTTTTCTTTTTCGGCCTTCCAACACCCATTGTGGTTGGTAGCTCCGCTACATGCAATTGTTGCCGTTCCGAGGAAAATACGTTGTCGGGATCTAGCCCTCGTCGGGCTCAACCATGGATAGAGTATTTTCACTGCCATGTATCATCACAGGTTCAAGGTCATACATTGGTCAGCCAGGATGCAAGGCTCATCATATGATAGCTTCGGTCTCAAAGACACCAGCTGATAACCGGCCTTTGCTGCAGGGTGATATAATTTTTACATGTATATCCTCGAAGCTTATTATCCAAGGAATTAATCAAAACAATACTGCTGCAGTGCACTTCATGACAGAGAATCGGTGGCACTAGAACTAGAGATCGAATAGGGGCCTGGCTACCTAACCAAATTCAAGGCGTTACCAGCAGCTTGGGCATGGCACACCGTATCTGTAGTAGGGTACCCTGGAAGCTTCAATGGCTGACGTTCTATGGTACACAAGGCGCTTCTCCATAGACACGAATGGGAGGGTTACGTCGCTGGCTGGCCGGAAATTGACGTCGAGGATAAGGGGCCAAGACTTGCGGGGGTACTTCTGAGTACTTACAGTAGTACTACCTGGTGTACGGAGTACTTAAAATCGATACCCTACTGGGGTTTCCATATGGAGTCCCCCCAACCCGTCGGATAACAAACCCGACGGCCTCCGAGTGCAACGCTGCTGTAACACCACGGTGACAAGGGTTTATACATTGTAGGGGACCGATCGATCACCGATCTGTGTCCTTTGGGGGTGTTTTGGTGTATCAATATGTCAGGAACACATACTGTGTACCCCAGTACGTATATAACTTGTTGCGGCGACATCTAGGCTAGACCCACGGAATACAAGTGTAGTGTGTAGTAGATCCATACGGGTACTATCTCAAACATTATGCTCCCTCCCCCCCCAAATAGCATTCGTGATGCCTATAAAATCGATCTATATGGCAAGAAATGCTGTCATACTCGTTGTATATATAGTTATCATATTCAGAACATAACAAGCTAGCTAGCTAGTTTGAGGGGACTCTAGCAAAGATTGCAAAGAGGTAGATGCTTCTGTTCTAATATAGACATGCTGACGTCAACACACAACTCCAACTGTCCTCAACTGACAGCATGTCCGAATCCATCACCTATTTTAGTGGTAGATTAGTTTCCTTGGCAATGATGCATTGGAGGGGACTGAAGTTCACGTTCCGTTGCTGCCTATGCTCGAGGTCTCGATGCTCGATACGTCCACCAACACGCCTCTTGACAAAATAAAGGGGAAGCAATTGCGCGATAGGGGCCAATTATGAACCTCTTTTGTAATAC